TTTTTTTTTAAAACATAAGAATTTAGGTGCAATCCTATCTTTATTATGCGACAGAAATGACCCCTGTAACGAACTTTGGGCCGGTGACTCCCAAGCCAGACGACTATAGAGCACCAGGTTAGAAACTCCTAAGGCTTAATTGTTCGAGTCAAATAGGCCCCGAAGACAGAAATAAGTTCAAAGAATAATGTAAAAAATGGGGAAAGACAATATTGATTAGGTTACACTCGTCACAGATCAAGTCAAATGGACAAACAACCCCAATCACAGAAGAATACCATCCCAAGTCTCACCCACGCGGTCAAGACCCATCTACAGGACTACAGTGTATGCTGTGCGAAAATGCATGACAAGCTGTATACTAAGAACTCCACAAAAAGTGAGAACTATGATGGAACCTCAGACTCGTACACATGATGAAAAATAGAGTTTGATCCTGAATGCAAATATCATAACGTCATACACGATGCACACAAATTTTTTTATTTATTTATTTATTTATTTATTTATTATTTATTATTTATTTTAAATTTCAAATGCAAACTTAATACTCAAAATAAAAACTAAAAAAAATAACTAACAAACAAAATGTACCACACACACATTTATCACATACAAGATATGAAATGAATAAGTGCAGATATGATAAATGCATGAATATGCATGAATTTATGATCAGATAGGCAACCAAATACCAACAACCGTCTGAAGCGACTCAAACCTCATCCCATCTAGTGGTTTCGTAAGTATGTCAGCTAATTGGTTGTCAGTAGAAACATGATCTAAGGAGACAACATGTGTTTCAACAAGTTCACGAATAAAATGATGTCGTATGTCAATATGTTTTGTTCGAGAATGTTGAATGGGATTCTTAGAAATATTTATAGCACTGGTATTATCACAGAAAACAGTCATGGTCCCTTGATTAATCCCATAATCACTCAGCATCTGCTTCATCCAGAGAAGCTGAGTGCAGCAACTTCCAGCTGCTATGTATTCGGCCTCTACCGTGGATAGGGATATGGAATTTTGTTTCTTACTTAACCAGGCTACTAGATTGCTACCCATGTAGAAACAACCCCCTGAAGTACTTTTTCTAACATATGCATTCCCCGCCCAATCGACGTCGGAGTAGCCAGCCAAATCAAGATTAGAATTTCTAGAATAGAAAATCCCTAGATCAACATTACCACTCACATATCTAATGATGTGTCTAATAGAGCTTAAGTGTGATTCTTTGGGATTTGCCTGAAATCGAGCACACACTCCAACACTAAAAACAATGTCAGGTCTAGTAGCTGTGAGATAGAGAAGACTACCTATCATGCTTCGATATAGGGAAGGATCTACACTCTTACCTGAAGGATCACGACCTAACTTCAAGCTAGTACTCATAGGTGCCCTAGTATGCTTCTTACTATCTAACCCAAACCGCTTAACTAAATCCTTTGCATACTTAGACTGTGAAATAAACAAGCCATCCTCAGTTTGTTTTACCTGAAGTCCAAGGAAATAACTCAACTCACCAACCATACTCATCTCAAATTCTTGCTTCAAACACTCGGCAAACTC